AGGAGACTGTGAGATAACCCAGTTTATAGGGAGAATGTTGAACCGGGAGATAAAGAGAGAATATTAATATAACGAGAGAGTAAAATAGAGAACAGGACGACCATAAGAGCATAAATAACAGTGAGAGTGTACAGTTTACAGTCTACAGTACAAGAAGACTGTAAAAAAGAACTGTAGGTTACAACTTCTACATAAGGAGGTAAATCTTTTGTAGTTCAGTAGTAAGGAAGAGCCAGTGAAGCATCATTGTAGTTTATAGAGAGAAGAGATAAAAAAATGTTGGCCTAATGCGTTTACAGGAGCTCGTCATGCCCTGTGCAGTGTGTTTATTGACTACAGAAGGAGACTCTCAATAGAAAACAAACCATTGAATCAAAATAAAACAATATTAAAACAAACATATAATGATTTGTGGAATGTTTATATATGACGAGCCCCCTGTAAACACACAAGTGAAGGGGACTGTACCTGTATCCGTCTGTAAGGCTTCAGGAGTAGTGAGAGGAGGAAGAGAAAGCAGACAAGGACAGCAGATGAGAGACTTAAGATTTATGACGGAACGGTTGACGGCACAAGAGAGAGGCCCCGAGTACACCTGAACACACGACATAGATGAACCAGTGAGGGTCGGAGGCGGTGGATGAGGATGGTGGTGGATGAGGATGGTGGTGGTGGATGGTGGTGGATGAGGATGGTGGTGGATGAGGATGGTGGTGGTGGATGAGGATGGTGGTGGATGAGGATGGTGGTGGTGGATGATGGTGGTGGTGGATGAGGATGGTGGTGGTGGTGGATGAGAATGGATGTTAGTGGATGAGAATGGATTGTGGTGGATTGTGTTCAGTGGAGTATCTCAAGTGTGATGTATGATTGAACTAGATGACTCGCCTATGTATGTATGTATGTATGTATGTATGTATGTATGTATAATTAAATGGTAGGAGGTAGTGTGAATGATTGCCAAGGTGTACTTTATATTAGGTGTTTGTTAGTTAAGGATATGAGATAATTGATGTGGACATTACTGGTTACTCTTGATCATCCAACAGGTTATATAGATACTTAACTTTTATAAGGTTAGGAATCCAAATGTGTTTAGATTGTCAAGAGAGATTAGACTGTTAAGATCTGCTTTTTTGTCTTTGTTGTTTATAATATTTCGTAATTTATATTTTTGGGGATATTTTTTATGAGTGTGCAAGGCTCGACGCGCGGTGCCTCAAGGTGTCGTCCACGCCACGGTCAGGAGACGCCACTCACCTCTTGAGTATCGGATCCATCGGAATTGTACTCAGTAAATATTTGTCTATCCTCTTCCATCAACAAGGGGATCCTATCCTCTCTCCTGGACGAAAATCCCGTTACTACAGCCTTAAGGGTTTCTCACACCCACTGGTCCATCTCTAAGCGGATGTACTGAATTCTGAGCGACGATTCGACGTGAATGGATTCTCTTCTTTTTAATGTGTACGTGATAGTAGTTTAGATAAATTTATGGGAAGATAAATAAATATTGTGGTGTTCCGTCACGCCCCTTCAAGTAACAAACGACTGTTAGATCAAACAAGGGATTTATTACCATTTAAAAAAAAGGCATCAGCTCTGCGTGAGGATAAACGATCGGATCTCTCACTGCGCGCTGGTTGTTATAAGAAACGGGGGATCCTGAGTCTCTCTTCCATTTAGAGAAGGACAGCGGGATGGCGGGGTGTTTGCTCAACAGTTTATGGAGCGGCATCGGGCCATTATTTATCTTATGAGTAAGCTAAGGGCGGGGGCGCCATCACAACAGCTTACAAAGGATCTGATGATTTAGCAGACCCGCCAAAACTTCGACTTGCCAGTTTTCTCTGTCCCATTGACGGTTCTCGTATTTATTTCTTCTCGGTAAATAATGGCGTTTATATATTAAGTATTTTATTATTTTCCACACAACCCTCAATCGCTGAGGTGTACCAGTGACAGATGATATTAATTTTAGTATCGTTTCCCGTGTGTCATGAATACTGAAACCGCGTGATCGTCGTAGTTTTTGTACATTGTTTCCATCATATGAAATAAAGTGAAAATAACCCACCGTTTTGTGTTTAGTATCGTAACTCTCTAAAGACCTTCACGGGTACTCTAATAAAAAATGAGTAATAATAAAGTATACTAAAGTATAATAAACGATCAAACACCAAAGTAAATAAGGAGGTGTATTTAAATTGTGTGAGTAACTCTTCAACATCTCGGAGTAAAATTTTCAAACTGTGCCAGATGTTGAGAGAGAGAGAGAGAGAGAGAGAGAGAGAGAGAGAGAGAGAGAGAGAGAGATTTATGACACTAAATTCTCACAGACGAACAGTCACTATGCCACTATTTTACCCAACAAACACACAAACACACAAACACAAATATAAAACAATAAAACATAAAAAACACCAAAGACAAAACACATGGATCATAGTTTGTAACAGTTGACTGGGTGTATATTATTTCTGCCCTGGTGGTGATTCCTCTGAGAGTGAAAGTCCATACTGAGTGTGTCATTATGGAGGTATATTTGAGCTACAGGGATTAATAAACTAGCTGGGGCCTCTATTACCTAGTTGACTAATGACCAGTAATAAACTCTCCCTATCAGACACAGAAAACCTTAAATTTATCTGAATATAAATTATAATCCTATTTTATGTCACGCCATTCCTAGTTTTGCTATTTTTTAATTTTTTTCTCAGTAATAATTAAGACAATATGATCTTAATTCTACGACAAAAATAATAAATTAAGTTACAATGCTATTACACTTGCTATGATTATTACTATTACTGTTAGTTGTTGATTCAGCCATGTTTCTATCATGACTACTATTGCTATTGGTAGTGATATTAATATTTCTGTAACTGATAGGTAATATCATGCTGCTGCTACTACTACTACTACTACTACTACTACTACTATTTTTTCTCAGGTGAAGCAAAGCGGCACTGGCACTCGTCTACAAATACCACCATTAATTACATTATTGGAGGAAGAGTGCGTTGGTGAAGACTGTGGTGGAGACAAGTGTGGTGGTGTGGTGGAGCTAGACACAGTGTTGGTATAGTGTGGTGGTAACAGAGAGATCGTGCCTCATGTGTGAATACATAAATATCTAATTAATGCATTTTATCCCAGTCTCATCCCTCGACGAACCAAAAACAAATCGATAAATTGAGCCATTAAAAATCATCATGCGGAAAACGTCACAGAATTCACTATGTAAATAAAATAAAATAAAGAATAAATTAACAAGAATCTTAACTGAAACGCTAATAGACCATTAAATAATAAGGTAATAATACAGTAAGAGGGTGAACATGGGAGTGAGTTTACCCAGCCCAGGAGAGACGGTCGATCACTTCAGCGGGAACGATGCGTAACCGATGTAAACAAACCGACTGCCTATCTGTCGGTAACTCCCCGTGACCGCGCATGTGTAGACCGCTAATAGCATTAACCTAACATATGTGTTTCAATAACAACTTTACCACTGCCGGAGAGCTTCACTACAGCAGGAAAAAACATAAATGCGTGAGATTTGTTAAATTAAACTTGGGCATTTTGTTACGGTTATGATTATATCACTTATACTAATGATAACAACACCGTAATACTCATGATAACAACACCGTAATACTCATGATAACAACACCGTAATACTCATGATAACAACACCGTAATACTCATGATAACAACACCGTAATACTCATGATAACAACACCGTAATACTCATGATAACAACACCGTAATACTCATGATAACAACACCGTAATACTCATGATAACAACACCGTAATACCTAAGTGATAACACCGTAATAATCATGATGATAACACCTTAATACTATGATAACAACACCGTAATACCTATGATAACAACACAGTAATACCTATGATAACAACACCGTAATACTCATGATAACAAATAATCTTAATACTCATGATAACAAATAATCGTAATAATCATGATGATAACACCTTAATACTCATGATAACAACACCGTAATAATCATGATGATAAATCAATCTTAATAATAATTCATGATAACAACACCTTTAATACTCATGATAACAACCACCGTAATACCATGATAAATACCGTAATACTCATGATAACAACACCGTAATACTCATGATAACAACACCGTAATACTCATGATAACAACACCGTAATGCTCATGATAACAACACCGTAATGCTCATGATAACAACACCGTAATACTCATGATAACAACACCGTAATACTCATGATAACAACACCGTAATACTCATGATAACAACACCGTAATACTCATGATAACAACACCGTAATACTCATGATAACAACACCGTAATACTCATGATAACAACACCGTAATACTCATGATAACACCGTAATACTCATGATAACAACACAGTAATACTCATGATAACAACACCGTAATACTCATGATAACAACACCGTAATACTCATGATAACAACACCGTAATACTCATGATAACACCGTAATACTCATGATAACAACACAGTAATACTCATGATAACAACACCGTAATACTCATGATAACAACACCGTAATACTCATGATAACAACACAGTAATACTCATGATTAATATTGGTGCCATGATCCTTCACCGGCGTCACTCCGCTGTTCGTCACCTGCCCCTCACACGGGTCTAGCTGCCCCTCACACGGGTCTAGCTGCCCCTGTGTAAGTTTTGCTTTATAAACAACTGACGGATGTCCTCCAGGCCCTCCCTTCCATCCTCACATTTTTTTCTCCTCCAAGTATGTAGTAATTTGTGGACGAGTTTGAGTCTCAGTGTTGACAGTCAGGTTGTGTCGCTGTCGTCTCACACTGAGGAGAGTGCAGCACCAAGAGAGTACAGTATACTGTAGTATGAATATGGATGTGTGTTAGATGCCACATTTAAACCCCGTGTGAAGGTAAGACTAATCACCTGGTTCAGTGCCCCACTAATGAGTGCCTTTTGCAGGTGTGGCGAGGAGGGAGCGTCTTTAGTAGTTCGTCAGAGCCGACCTGGGCACCTGGTCTCCACGTGTTCCCCGCGAGTGGCCTACACCTGCCCCAGACTGACCCTCGTCATCTATCCCAGCCTGATGCTCGCCACCTCCCCCAGCCTGATACCCGCCACCTCCCCCAGCCTGACTCCCGCCACCTCCCCCAGCCTGACTCCCGCCACCTTCCCCAACATGACCAAGTCTCACAGCAGCAACAGCCTCAGGGTGACCGGCACCCCCCGGCCACTACGTCATGGTACCATGACCTGGCTGTCCAGGAGCCGGTCGGAGCTTTTGAACTGTTATGCAAAAATGACTTCCAGAACCGCACTGGAGACCCACCTGCCGCGGCCTCCTTCTACACCGACCCTAAGAAGGAGGTCGGTGGACCCCTGCCAGGGAAGGACGGAGGCAGTGGTCACGGTGCGCCTTACACTAAACACTCTGGGGGCGTGAACAAGGTTCGGGGTGGGTTTCCCGCTCAAGGAGAATTTGGACGGACTGCTTTCCCAAGCGTCTCCCAGGAGTCCGGAGCACGAGGCTCTACACTCAGTCTAGAAGGACGAATTAAGTTGGAAAGTCCATGGTCGACCGAGAGGGCGGCGGGAACGACCATGCAGTCGTCTTGTGCTGCACGACACAACTACAACACCAACCTGTCGCTCATCCACCAACAGATTCAACAACATCAACAACCATCGCCCTTCCAGCCGAGTCTGCCATCGTTTCCCCCAGTGGCAGGAGGGCAGCAGGGGTACCAGCCTGCGGCAGGTCAGCAGTACGGCGTGCAGCAACCTGCACCACAGCAGCAGCAGCAGCAGCAGTACCAGCATCCTGGTCCTCTGCCAACATGGGGAACACCTTATCAGAGCGGTGAAGGAAGCTCATACAGCGGGGACCAACACTACAATATCTACGCTCGCTCCGTCTACATACAGGGAGGCCCCGGGCCACAATACCCATACCCAGGGTATTCAGGACTGGCTACATCGTCCCCAGGACCCTCTCGGCATCCTACCGTGCCCCAGAGTGTCCTCCCTAGCCCTGTGGCCCCACCTCCTACCCTGACCACACCCATGAAGGCTCGTCGACGACGACGCTGGACGCGCCGCAAGGCTGTCATCCACACCTGCTCTCAGGCAGGCTGCGCCAAGACGTACGCCAAGTCGTCCCACCTGAAGGCGCACATGAGGACCCACACGGGCGAGAAGCCCTACACCTGTGACTGGAAGGGCTGCGGCTGGAAGTTCGCCCGTTCTGACGAGCTGACTCGCCACTACCGCAAACACACTGGTGACCGCCCCTTCCAGTGTAGACTGTGTGAACGAGCCTTCTCTCGCTCTGACCATCTCAGCCTTCACATGAAGCGTCACATGGCCCTGTGAGCCTTAAATGTGACCCTGTGAGACTCTTAAACAGTCACATGACCTCACATGAAGCGTCACATGGCCCTGTGAGCCTTCCCTTAAATGTGACCCTGTGAGACTCTTAAACAGTCTGTGCCTCACATGAAGCGTCACATGGCCCTCTGAGTCTTACGTGAAGCCTTAAATGTGACCCTGTGAGACTCTTAAACAGTCTGTGCCTCACATGAAGCGTCACTTGGTTGTTTTGCTTCATATGAAGGTCACATGCAGTAATATATGGCCCCTTGAGACTGATTGAGGTGTTACATGGCCTTGTTAGCCTTAAATGAAATCACATGGCCGTGTAAGCTTTCATTAAATGTTGCATGTCCATAAAGTGCCTTACAACACCGCACCAGTGTTTATGAAGCTCACATGACCAAGCTAGACTCACACAGAGCCTCATACGACTCACCGGACCTCACATAAACACCCTTGTGAACACCACCACACCACACCAGCCTCTGTGGTGTTGACCAGTGTGAGAGAGGACTCGTAGTGTGAGCTGAGACAATCAACCAACAGTAGTCCGAGATATATAGTGTGTGTGTATGTGTGTGTGAGGGAGAAAGGACAATAGCTTTTATGAAGTGTTGTGTAGTGAATCATATAGTCTCCCTATATCTCGCTAATTACGAGACTTGACGAGATTATTATTTTCTCAAGAGTAAACCATTGAATACTGTATTTAATTGTTACTCTTTAAGTTAGTAATAAATAATATATCAGTTAATTTACGGACGCGCTGAAATCATTGAAAAATTTCAGTACAGATTTAATGATGATAAATTCCGACTCTCCCAAGAATGTTAATTTTATCTTAACAAAAATTATTTACATTAATAATATTGAAAAAAAGTTAGAGAATTATTATAGTATGTAATATGGTATAACTATTACAGGATACAGACACAGTTACAAAATAATAATGAAATGCTTTTGTTCTGATTAAATATACAAATGTTACATCTTAATTAAAGCAACGTACCTTATAATTATATAATGTAATCAATATATTTTTTAATTAGTCCACAGTTTAATGTAGAGTACAGTCAGGGATACAGTCCATTACAGTTCAGTCTATAGGGAACAGTGTCTTTGAGAGAGAGAGAGAGAGAGTGTGTGTGTGTGTGTGTGTGTGTGTGTGTGTGTGTGTGTGTAGATAATTCAGTTATAGTACAAGTTATAGGTATTGGTTCCTGATTATATATACTTTATATAATTCATAGGAGCTGGACCTAATTATTATGTACTTAATATAATTCATATAATGTCACATCATTTCTGAGTTCAGAGTTGACAAGTTCAGTTAGGGTTACAGAGAGGAAGTGTGGTGGAGACAGTGTGGTGGAGACAGTGTGGTGGAGAGTGGTGGAGATAGTGTGGTGGAGAGTGGTGGAGATAGTGAGGTTGTTGGAGATAGGCTTGATGGAGATAGTGTGGTGGAGATACCGTATATGGCCAACAATGACGTCATATATAAATGACCTCACTGGGCTATAGTTAAATATATATAACAGATATAATGTACAGTATATATATGTGTGACAGACAGACAGACAGACAGACAGCTATCAGACACAGACAGACAGACAGACAGACAGCTATCAGACACAGACAGACAGACAGACAGACAGACAGCTATCAGACACAGACAGACAGACAGACAGACAGTTATGTTTCTTGTTCCGTTTTAATATGATGTTATTTATTCAAGTCTCTTAAGTGTTCCAGTAATGTTGTGTTTACTAAATTACTGTAACTATTAGTCTCTTAAATTAGGTTTATTCTCACAGTTTTTTTGTCTATATTAATAAACTATTTTTGTTTTTATTATCGTGTCTATGTTATTATTCCCAGAGAGATATTGATGGTAAAAATATATGATAATAATAATGTTTATATTTTTGTATTAGAGAGAAATAAATATTTTTACTGTTGTGTTGTAATCTGGTATTTATTGAGTGACGCGAGGTACACGGCAAGAGGTACACGGTAAGAGGTACACGGCAAGGGGTACACGGTAAGAGGTACACGGTAAGAGGTACACGGTAAGAGGTACACGGCAAGGGGTACACGGTAAGAGGTACACGGCAAAATTACACAGCAAAGAGGTACGGCAGAATTTTTGACAGGGTACACAGTGAAGTACGGCAAGAGATTGCACGGTAAGGGGTGCACAGCAAAAGTGCACAGTAAGGTACTTTTTGATGAAAGTACACAGTAAAAGAATTTGACAAGTACACTACAGGAAAGGTTTGTTTTAATATTATATGCATATTATAGACTGATGTATAATGTAGTATCAATGTGTCTCAAGTAATGGATAAACTTGAAGGGTTAAACTATGGACGGATGGGAGCGAGTGTGTCCACGTGTTCACCTTCAACCAGACGTGAATCCCTCACCATTTAATACCGGAAAGAACCATTAACCTTCTGGTCTCTCACTGTAGGTGGCTCTCCCTCCCACACTACCGCTGGTCAAACTTAATTAATACCATAAGAGCATAAGACGATCATTCAGTGTCTGGTGTGGCCGGGCGGAGGTGTGGCTGGGGCGGGGGTGTGGCCGGGGAGGGGGTGTGGCTGGGGCGGGGTTGGGTGCGGGGGTGTGATCGGGGCGTCAGAGGGCACAAAGGGGGGCGGAGAACCCCCTAAAGCTCCCTCTTACTCTACCAAGTTCAGGCGCACAGGTCCTCCCTAAGTTATAAGACTCGTCGCCTTTTGTGGTTTTTCATGAGTTCAGGAGGTGAGTCGATGTTGGGTGAGGGGTGAGTAAGAGGTGAATGGGACGTGGGTAGGAGGTCAGTGTGGGTGTGAGGGGAGGACCGGCTTACTAGACGCTGTAAAGTGGTGTGTTTTGTGATTTAAAAAGGTGTTTTAACCCGGCGGTAAATGGGCGGGAGGGCGGCCGGTCAGTGTAAACAGCCAGGGACTACGGGCATAAAAATTATCGTCCCTACAACACGTTCTCCTTCTTTGGTATTCTGCCTAGAATTTATTATTCATGTAAATTTCGCGCCATGGATTCTCTGACTAAGGATTTATTAATGACTTCTTTTAGTCAGCCGTTTCGTAAACACCCAGAGCATACGGGCCTAAAAAATTATCTTCACCGCAACACGTCTGTGGTCTCTTATAGTCAATAAGAGATTTATATTTATGTAAAATACTAACCAGTGATTCTTTAAGCCGTGATTGTTGCTGTTGACTTATTGCCTCGGTCACCCTGAACTGTGCCACCTGGTGGTGAAATAATGAACTGTTGTAAATAAAACTGAAAAAGAAAAATTAATAGCTTACTGGGGCCGTGAAATGGCGCTCCCTGCCCATCACTTACCCCAACGACACGGCATAGTTCACAGCAGAGTCGCTCCAATGACCAACCAGTCCTAGAGACGCTTAAGAACTCAAGAATGGAGGAAACTGCAGCTAGGCTATTGACCCATACTAGGCAGTCCTGTTTATACCCAACCCCTATCGCTCATATGTCCGTCAAGCACATCAACCGCACTCACAGCCTCCACGCCCTCCACCACGCCCTCCCAACACAGTCTGTTAGTTACGGCGCGAGTTTTGAATACTCGCACTATAATCTAGAAACGCCATCCACTATTACCATTGAAATTTATTTGCACTGTGAGCCCCAGAAGTAGCTGCTAGGTTAGGTTAGGTTAGGAGTACCAGAAGTTGCGGCTGACCAATATAATGGAGATAATTACTGAGGGATGGCATATAGTGGCGGGGAGACTCACATATTTGGGTAACGTGTGAAGAATGGTGAGGTGAAGGGGAATTATCTGAACCATTCCTCTCTCTCGTTGAGTATTATGGATTGGTGTGATGTATGAGTCTCTGGCCTAATAATAAAGTAAGCCTCTGTCGTCTTTTAGTATTATTATTATTTTGAGGATTTTTTTTGTTTATTTATCACAAGAGGCCGCCAGGTAGTAAGTCTTTCCCTGTTGACACTTAATAAACTCCCGGCCCTTACGTACACCTCCACACACACACACACACACACCTCCACACACACACACACACCTCCACACACACACACACGAGCACACACCTCCACACACACACACACACACACACGAGCATACTTGCTGACCGTAGTTCACTAATCACTCTCCCCCTTCCTCTCACCGCCTCTAGCCTCCTTAAGGACGGCTGATGCTGGGAACTGATAACGCTCACCCTCCCCCGATTTATGACCACCAATCATCAACCAGTATCTGATCGTCTCTTACATAAGGACCAATCACAACTCAGCTTCTTGATGATCGAAGAATTAAGAGTAAGTGACCCGGCAAAACAGAGATTGACCTTCAGGTAGACAGAGAGACAGGTAATTAGACGGGCAAACAACATACATACAGACAGACAATGTGCACACTAACAGGTAGTGTGCACATAGACAGCTGATACATACATTGATAGACAGTGTATGCACAGAAAATATTGCGCACATAGACAATGTACACACAGATAGATAGTGTACACATATAAAAAGCCTTAGACACACACACACCATAGGTTATTAAACACACACACACACACACACACACACACACACACACACACCATAGGTCAAACACACACACACACACACACACACACACACACCTGCTTAACAAAAACACACACACACACACACACACAACAATACCCCCCACACCCACACCACCCACACCCACAACACCCTCCACACCACCCACACCCACACCACCCATCCACAGACGGCAGTTCACACCAACATTACTCAGGTCTTATGAGAAGTTTCAGACGATGTTAAATACACACACGACCGACCTAGAACAGTTTTACCCTTCAGTTTACTAAATCAACGAAACACTCAAAGATAACGAAGCTCCTTCATTACCTTATATTTTACCTGTACTAATGTTATGGTGTTAAAGACTGAGTAAATGTTGTCGTTTAATAGATAATTGAGTTAATATCTGTGTTTTGGTTCACACACACAGACTAGCATTATGGGATGTGGTTCATTGTTACTGATACTCTCTCTCTGTGTGGGGTCTCTCTCTCTCTCTCTCTCTCTCTCTCTCTCCCATGCTATAAAAAACACCAACTCCTTCATAACAAACCAACATTTTAACGTCTTAATACACATCAATTAAACCCCCCTACCCCCTCCCTCCCTACCCCCTCCCCCCCCAACACACACCTCTGAACACCTTGATTCTAGCCCAGGTAAACAGGTGACCAAATTACCTCCTAATCACACAGGTGCTCCAGCAGGTAAAAATTGTCCTTCAGTTATCATTAGTTGGTCGTGTGATTATTTTAGGTCTTTGGTTTAATCACAGTTAACATCAAAACAATAATTGATGTTATTAGGTGAGATTAGATCGAATGTGTCATAATATTTCGTATAAATTTGGTCATTATCGTCATAGTTACTTATAGTAGTTGGTAACACAAGCCACAGCTGATCATCAGAACAACAGGTATTAGCTCAGGTGTGTTGGGTCACAGGTGTAATTTAAGATAAAACAGTAAATAAACACTGTAAGGGCTGTAACGAGCGGGTAGGTTGTCCGCCGTTCGTTCCTGCCCCACTAGGGGCAGACGGAGGTGAGAAGGTTGCTGCTGCCCCGTGGTCGGCTAGTCCTGATACAGCCTTCGCTACACCTGTTACTTCGCTGCTGTTGTATTCCAACTCTAGTTGTGTAGGCGACGAAGGTTCCTGGAGATGGTGGACCGATTCCCCAGTCCTTCGCTATTTAACTGTCAACTCCGGTCATCTACTCCAGCTGCTGCCCCGTGATCACCGTCTCTCTACCCACCGTCCGTCTCGGCGTCTCTCCTGGCAAGACATCGCCCACTGGCGCCAAGTGAGGTAGCTGCCCTGGACCTTCCCCCTGAGCGGATGGCCGCCTTACCAGATCATTCTACAGTGCTGGTTAGAAGGAAGATTCATCTGCAGCCCTCGGAAATATCCGTCTTTGTTTTATTGAACGTTTTAGTAATTGTTTGACCAGTAATTGTTTGTACTCCAGGGCTGTTTATTTAATATTTGTGTGAGTGGTGTCCGTAAAATTTGTTTTTTTCTTAATAAAGAGATGCCCTCTCGACCTATTGTGTATTACCCATGATTCTTGTTTTCTTTGATAAGGGTGGCAAGGGATTTATATCCGCCAGGCCATTACAAACACACAAGGCTGAGCACTTTCAATAAACCGTTCATTATTATTACTGTACTGCACCTTGTTGGACGCCATTAAGTAGTGATAAACATACGGTGTATTAGTGTAGTTTATAACCTCCGTCAACTGGTAGAATAAAAAGGCTTAGCGGTTAGGTTATTGTAATAAACGGTGAATTAAGCTCCTGCCACTGTATAGAATAGTGAATAAAAAATCATTGACCAAGAGTAGAACAGTTTGGTATAATAACGTACACAAACCCCGCCCACCCCCCGCCCACACCCCGCCCACCCAACCCACCCACACCCAACTAACTAGCCACTCAACCAACCCATTACAATGATAATTAATGACGGATAAACTAT